AAGAAGTAGAGTTTGTAATTGATGAGCTTGAGGTATCGCCTGATGAACTTCGGTTCGCTTTTAATATGATAAAATCAAACAAAAGCGCAGGTCTTAATGATGTAATCCCTAGTGTTGTTAAAGAAGTTTTTGATAATATTAAATACCTCTTACTTAGTATTTTAAATCTTTCATTGAAAATGGAGTTTTTGCTAGTCTCTTAAAACTAGGTAGAGTAGTTTCAATATTTAAAGATGGTGATATCTCAAAGTTATCTAATTATAGATCTATTTCAACAATCATGAACTTTATAACTTTAATGTATTGTTTAGGGCCAACAAACATTCTCTAAACCCTACCGAAAGCAAATATACTCTCTTTTCTAAATACTCTAAATCTGACACATTGTCCTCAAAACTCAGGTATATTTCAATAGAAAAAACTAAGTTGCAACGGACATCCTGCGTTAAATTCTTAGGCTTTTTAATCGATGAGCAAATAAATTGAAAGAGCATAATAATCTAATAGAAAATAAAATTTCACAAAGTATTGCAGTTTTGTTTAAAACTGTTTAAAATCTATTTACTTTTAACTTATTCATAACTATATTAGTTATTGTAACATTGGACGGGCAAGCACTTATCCGTCAAGACTAACGTGTATCTTAAAAAAATAAGCAAGCCGCCTAATATTAAATGCAAATAAGTGCACCAGTCCAAATCAACTGCTTAGAAAGCTCAAAGTGTTGAATGTTTACCAGCTGATAATTTAAAATGTTCTTTTATTCGTGTTTAGATTAAAATATCAAATGCTGCCTAATATTTTTTAAGATCATTATTATATATCATAAATATCAAACAAAGTATTCGTTGCTAAATTATCAGGTACCAAAAACTTTGTTAAGACAATCTGAACTTTTAATAACATATCGAGGAGCGTATTTGTAGAACTTATTTCTTCAAAAAAAGAGTAAAACTAAAACTTCAATCCAAAATGAATAAATTATGTTAACAAAATAGTTACTTAATTATGGCGTATCTCATGAAGCATTTTATTTTATTTTAATTTTATTCTCTTTTAATTTTGTAACTTTTCCTTTTGTTAAAATTTTAAATTAAAATTTCCTTTTGTCCTATCATCCAGCCATGTTTGTAAAACAAACATGGCTGTTTTTTTAAAACCTTTTTTTAAAATTGTTTTTTTAACAATTTATTTCAAAGATAACGAAATACATACATATCTATATATGTATATATATATTTATATATATATATATATATATATATATATATATATATATATATATATATATATATATATATATATATATATATACATAAAAGTAATACATAAAACATACCATAAACGTGGATGTATTTGTAAAACAAAACAGGCACCATTATCTTCATCTAAAATAAAAATTTAAAAGTTTGTTTGATTATTGAACGCAAGAATATTTATTGGATCTATAAAACGACCAAAAAAAAATTAATCTTTGCAACCAACTTCAAACCATTATTACATTGTTGTAATGTTTCTTTCTCTTCTCTATAAATACTATCTAGTATTTATAGAGAAGAGAAAGAAATTTTTTTTTTGAATTGTTTTTTTTATTATTATTTTGCTTTTTAATGAAACAAGTTAGATTTGAGTTTCAGTAAATATATATATATATATATATATATATATATATATATATATATATATATATATATATATATATATATATATATATATATATATATATATATATACACTTCAAATATGCGTGTATACACATACGTACATTTACATACATTCACACAAATACATAAAACCACATATACAAAAACGTATACATATACTCACACACATATATACACATAAAAATGTATTCAAACATACCCATACACACATACACATCCATGCTTACATAATACACATACATTTATACTCACATTTTTTTACATGCGCTAAATAAAAACTTTTATACACAGATCTTTGGATTTAATAACTGTATTTGATTAGAAAAGAGTGAAATATGTTACTCTTGAAATCATAGATTGAATAGAGAGCTTTTTGGTCATTGGGAAAGATATTCGAAGAGTTTATACTTAGGTTTCTTATGGAGTTATATCCATTAGTAACAGAACTATACCTCCCGCATACTATGTGCAGAATATTAATTGATCAAAAATAGTATCATTTATTTTTGTTTTTGGAGAAGAAATTGTTAAAGAAAAGTGGTAGGTTTTTTTGTTGGTGATTCCAGACAATCTGGCATTTCAGAGAGTTCAGCAAGAGTTGAATTTCAGCAAGAGTTGAATTCAGCAAGAATCATTTCAGCAAGAGTTGAACAAGATCACAAAGTTAAAGGATAATAAAAGTTAGAAAAATTAGGATTGAACTTGTATATCTGATAATGTGATATTTTTAAAGCTTTATTTTGAAGATAGGGTATCCTTAAAACTGCGAGCTGTTGAGATTTTTCCCACATTTGACAAGAGTATCGTATATGTGAGCCAAAAACGGCATGATATATATTTAATAAAATTAAAAAAAAAAAAAATTTACTAGATGTTTTCCTAAACTGCAGATAACAGTGAGATGTAAAATTTCCAAAGTTAAATACTCAAATATTTAAAATATATAAACCAATGCATAAATAAACTAAAAAAAATAAATTTATAATTACTTTCTTTAAAAAACAAAAAAAGTAGGGCTGTTAAAAAAAAACTCGCTGGAGTTATTATTCCTCTAATTTAAAAATCTGTTGTTTTGCTTAAAACTTAAACGAGTTCAATAATTTTACCATATCTTTTTTAGAGTCGTTTTATTTTGAAAACAATTCCATACCTTAGGTCCTCGAAATGCTATTGAAAACTCTGAATATTTATTTAATTTATTAACTAAAAACTTTTTATAGTTTTTTTATTTTGTTTTATTTTATATTATTTAAAACTAGATATGATTATTTAAGGGAAAGTTTAGTTATTTTAACTTTTTATAAAATAATGTAAACTTTACTTTCTTGACGTTTAATGAGATTTTGTTTGTTGTAAACAAATCATTTCATTAAAGCTTATTTCAGCATAAAGTTGCTTGATGCTATAGTTAAAAAAAAAAGAGATCTGTATTGTCTGCAAACATATTTGGGTTTAATTAGATTGATGCGTTACTTCAGTCATTTATATAAACTAAATATAAGTGAGAGCCTAGTAATTATCCTTGTTGTACTCAACACGGGGTTTTAAAAACTCCGAATTTTTGTCTTGAAATATTATTTTGTTCTACCAGTAAGACTTTTAATCCAAATGTAGTTCTCATTAATTTCCCCATAATACGTTAACTTTTTTAACAAGATGCAATGATCAATGGTGTCAAAAGCTTTAGTTAAATTAATAAATATAGCTAAAGTAAATTTGCTTTCATTAAAACCATTATTTTTTAAATGATTAAAAGATTTTTATAAAGCCCTAATTGTTTTGGATAACAAAAAATTGTTTTTGGTTAAATGGTAAAAGATTTTATTATAAGTTAATATCTTTGAAAATACAGAAAACAATGAAATTAGCCTGTAGTTAGAAACGTTTGAATGATTTTTACTTTTATAAATTGGAATTACTTTTGTGAGTTTTTGTTCATCAGAAAGTAATACTTGGTCTGAGGAAAACTTGACAATGGAAAACGTTCAGGTAATGCTTTCTTAAGTTGAAACTTGTTTATTACTGGGTATATTGACAAAGCCTGGCGATTTGTTTTTTTATGGAAGAAAAAGTTGTTTCAAATTTTTTTAATATCAAGTCAAAATCATACACCCTTTTGTCATTGGACTGTCTTATATAAGTTTTATAAGAGTTAAGGCATGGCATATTTTTTTTAGCTAGATCAAATCCAACATTTGTGATATATTAACAAAACTCTTTAGATATTTCTTTTGGATATATCATATCATTATTATATTTATTGGTTCGTTTTTGTAGCAAATAAGTTATGTTTTTTTTTTTCAAATATATTATTGGTTATCGCCCCCTTTTTTTTTGATACCCAAATTACATTTAGTAAATTGTTTACTTAATAAACTTTTTTAGTTTTTTTAGATGATCCATATAAAAGTATTTGTATTTTCTATAGTTTTTTTTTTTCATTAGATCTGCTTTTGTTTTTAAGAAATTTATTATACAGTTTTTGCTTTGGTTTTAGAGAATTTGTAAGTATTTTATTTCTCAAGGAAATAGCAAGTGTTTAAATTTCTATTTTTAATACTTGATTAGAACAAGCATTATAAAAAATCTATTAGAATTTGTTTTAAAATAACTTACATGCTTCGTTTACATTTTGTATATTATAAACATAACTCCGGTTCTTTATATATAGTTTTTTTGTTAGATGGTTTACTATTAGTTGAAAGGTTGCGTTTATTTATATTTAAAATTTTGGGTTCACTATTCAAAAAAAGTTTTATATTGTTATGATAATGTATATTTTGGGAATGATTACTAATATCAGTCTTTAACATTCCTGCCTCAAGTGATGCTTCTAAATAACTGTTAATAAAAACCAAAGAAATATATTATTTTCTTTCCTTTGTTAGTATTAAAAATACTTTTATCGATAAAGTCTTGAAATGATTTAATTTTACCACTAGGATGTCGGTACATGCATCCAATAATAATGCTTTTGTTTTTTGCGTTAATTCCCAACGGGCATTCGAACATTTAATCAACGTTTAGGTAATGTTCGTTCTAAATGTTTAGATTTAATTTAGTTTTGATTTAGAACGTAGGTCAATCGAATGTTCCATTTAAACCATATCTAAATGGTTCGTTTTAAACGCTATTTAAACTTTATTTAAATCTTTCGATTAAAACTTCGCGATGTTAAACTTTATTTTACGGCGCTTATTTAAAGAAGCATAAATAAATACAAAATATTGATAAACGAATCAAACTTTTCTTTTATTTAAGCTGCTTTAAATAAGCACCGTAAAAAAAAGTTTAACGCTGAACGCATTATCTAAATACTCATAAACAAATCAAACATTAAACAAATAATTTTTTATTTTTATAAGTCTAAGATACAAGTAAAAACATTTTATTTATTATTATATGCATTATCGTATTCGTCATCATGATCGGCTCCATAATGATCATCGTCATCTTTGTTTGAACCGATTAAGCCTCTTCGTCTTAAGAATTAGAAAAAAGGACACAACCTATCCTATTTCCACCTATACGGAAGAGAGCCATTCTAAGATGGAAATCAATGCACGATACCGTATTGCGGATACCGAAGTCATACAATCTCTTTTCTAAAAATAATAAAAATAATTCAACAAACATCTTCATTCTATTCATTTAACAACTTTATAAATCCATAGTTTTATAGATTATAGAAGATTGTACAATAGTAGAGTGTACATTGAGTAATTATGGTAACAATTGACAGAGAACTTTTTTTTAAAACTCTGTAAAATATATAACATTTATATAATAAAAACCTTATTAAAAAAATTTGCAGTTATCGTAGTTATGGGTTGATAAGTTATATATATATATATATATATATATATATATATATATATATATATATATATATATATATATATATATATATATATATATATATATATATATATATATATATATATATATATATATATATATATATATATATATATATATATATATATATATATTCATTGTCTTGAGGAGCCTACTGCTCCTCAAGACAATGAATAATGGGAGTTATCAAACTTTATATATATATATATATATATATATATATATATATATATATATATATATATATATATATATATATATATATATATATATATATATATATAAAGTTTGATAACTCCCATTATTTATTGTCTTGAGGAGCAATAGGCACACTAAGTATCCTGTTTAGTTGAAACTTTCTATTTAATTGAAAAGTTGTGGAGATACCGACAGTTTCACTACAATATAAATAAACATGTAAAAATAAAATTGTAATTCTTACACTTCTTAAAGTTTAAAAACTAATCAACAAACATAATAATTAAAATTTATATATCAAAATTATATATATGTACTAACACGCAATTTAAGGTAAAAATTAAGTATTACTTGATCAATCCATTAGATTGTACTTTGATAAAGTAGTTATGTGGATAATGGTATTTTAGAACTCAATTTTTGGGCTTACAGAAAAAGAGACTTTGCAAGTACTGATGGGTTAGCTATTATGTAAATAACTATATAGATATATTATGTATACAAAGTTATTTTAAATAAAAATTTACTAAAACATTGTAAATTTGATTTTAAAGTCAATCCTAAAAGGATTACATTGCTAAATATGTTCATAAGTCATAAAATTAACAGGTTTATTTAAAAATAAAGGAGTTCTATATAAAAGATATAGATTTAGACATCTTACTTGATTGGTCCATTCTAGAGTCTTTTGGTAAAGTAGTCACACTTAATTTGAATAAAGATATCTTAGAATACGATTTAATGCTTGAGACAAGGTTGCTGTGGAAGTGGTGATGGTTTAACTAAAATATAAATCCGAGTGTATATTGTCTGAGATATGTTTATTACAATTATTATTAGTCTTCAAAGATGTAAAGTAGGACAACTTACTTGCATAATCAATTGAATATACTTGCAGTACCACATCCATAATCTTTTTGTATAATTAAACATTTGTAACTTTTTTTTATACTTAAATGCATCATGCATGCATGCTATATTATAATACAGCATGCATGAATAATGCATGCAAGTATTTTTGGCACTAAGGTCTTCACAAACTTTATTTCATGTTTATTGTTACATCAAATTAGCTAACCTGTCAATATTCGTACCTTTTGCATTAACATTAACATAAAATTCTTCCTCAACTGAAAAATAAAAACTCTTTTACTATTCCATAAAAATACTATAACCATAAAAATGGTTAATCATTTACTAAAACTTGCTTCTTTTTTTTTTTACATAAAAATTAGAACAAACTAAATAAAACTATTATTTTTAAATTTATAATATATATATATATATATATATACATATATATATATATATATATATATATATATATATATATATATATATATATATATATATATATATATATATATATATATATATATATATATATATATATATATATATATATATATATATATATATATATATATATATATATAATATATATATATATATATATAAATAATATATATATATATATATATATATATATATATATATATATATATATATATATATATATATATATATATATATATATATATATATATATATATATATATATATATATATAATATTATTTGCTTTAACAAGCGATTTATTCAATTTTTAGTGCAGTTTTTCCATAATTAACCATTTCTACTGTAATTGCATTAAACTAGTAATATTAACTCTGAAGAAATTGAAAAAAAAAATAATTTAGTATAGAATAATGCACAATTATGGATTAATTATATGTTATTATTTTCAATTTATATATTATTAGTTTCTATATAAACATTAACAAATTAAAATGAAACCTTTAAAAGAGTTGTAAAATCAGTACTTTTGCGCTTTTTTGATATCTGCTGATTATGAATGCTTTCTTCAGTTTCTGATATTTAAAAGTTTTGCAATCCTCATAACAATCTGTAAAAGAAATAACAAAACATCTTATCCTATCTATTAAAGCAATGACAAATAAATTTAAAAAGTAAATTATTTAACATTTTGTGAATAAAAATTATCATATCACAAACTAAAATAACAATTCAATAAAATATCAAGCTTCTGGTTCTTCAAACAGACTGGCGATATGACATTTTGCTAAAATGTTAACACTAATTTGGTTGAAGGTACATCAACACATAACATTAACTTGTTAAAAGCGTTTTAAATAAGTTTAGTCATCTAGTTTTTTAGCTTTTTTTGCAGACTTTAGTTTTCCTAATTCCGAGGGATGATATACTTATACATACTATATATTTCAACCCGTTAAAACTTCAAGCTTGGTAGGTTTTTCATAACATAATAAAATTAAAAAAAAATAATGCTATAAATATTTCAATAGCTTTTAGATATAGAGCATAAGATAAAAACTAAACAATTTGAACTCTCTTTTAACTAATTTAAACTTTAAAGACTCGAACCAATCATCAATGTACCTTTTAAATATAACAGGAATTACCTTTAATCTTACATTAATTTTTAAGCGTTGAATTTTTATTATAGCTTTTCAGAAGCTTGAGCAATTAGATTATGATTTAAAAGGTAAATATCTGACAGATGTTCAACTATTAGAATCAAAGTACAGAGTTAGCCCTTTATCTTGTGATTACTAAAAGAATAACTATTAGTTTTAAAAATCACTGCAGTTTTTATTTACAGAATCTTTACAGAAATAGCCATTAACTTATTTATTATTTTAGGAAAATCTAAATTTTAAAGGAGTAAAAAAGTCACAAAAACTTACCACTTGCATGTGTACTTGGCTGTTTCCTGCTGCTTTAATTGTTGTTGCAACTGACTGGACTGTATATAAAATATTAAATGAAATTAAACACACAAAACTTAACAATAAAAAATATATTTATGCGGATTTCATAAAATTATGTAATATAGCTATGTATATTATTGTTCAAAATATGTTAACTTTTCTACTAAAGAGAAAATAAATGATACAATATAATAATCATATCAGACATAAGTAAATTTATTTTCTCTTTAGTGGTTATCATATAGGAGTATGAATACTACTTAAATTTTTAAAAATATTTTTTAGTTTACATTAAAAGCCTTCACTAAAACTGAAGATCCATTATATAAATATTTCAACCTCACAATTTTTAATTGGCACTGACTGCACTAAAAGTATAAATATAACATTGCTATTCGATCAATATAACATCTATCATAAACAAATAGATGTTAGGTCTTAAAATAAACAAAAAATAATAATTTTATTTAGTTATTTAAAAAGTAGCTACGACTTAAAATGCATAATTTTCCTCTAAAACTTTTAGAGAAAATTTATGCATTTTAAGTAATATTTTAGCGTTGTTAAAAAACCAAACAGAAAAAACAATTTAAGAAATAGTTTAAAAAGATGCTGAAATTGCTACTTTTCTGAAACTACTGCTACTTTTTTGAAACTGCTATTTTAGTAGCTATAACTAAAAAAAAGAATTATCAAAATATATTAATACTGTACTTAAAATTACTTTTAATCGCTCATACAATATCATCGAAGAACTTACAGGACTTTTTAACTCCTTCATTAGCCACAATATAATACTAAAAACAAATTTCTTTTATTTTTTCTAAACCTTTATTACATAATTTAAGATTAATAAGAAACTCTAATTTTTAATCATAATGAAAGATTCAAAATGTCCGACACATTTTGTAAGAAACTAATTTAATTTAGTTAGTTCCGTACGGAAATTGTTTGATTTAGCTTTTCAACGCAAATTAAATATTCAGAACACGTTTAGATTAGATTCCTAAACGTTTAGATCGACGTAAATGCCATCTAAACGTGATCTAAACCAATTTTAAACCAACAAATGCCCGTTGGGTTACTTCACTAAAAAAATTTTCATAATAGTTATTTGATACACTAAATTGCTTTTTTATTTTAAATTGATACGTTTTACAAACGTAAACACCTAGTCCTCCGTCATTTTTATTGCTTCCTCACAGTTAGCTAACATATTTGTAATTTGAAAAACTATAATCAAAATATAATTCGAACCTAGCGGACTTTCTGAAACATGCCAAGTCTCTGAGTATGCTTGCTTTATTTTTTTTTTTTCCAAGTCAAGGTACTCTTAAAACAAATTTAGAACCTTTGCCTTACTCACTTCCCAGGTTTCGTTTTCAGCTTCACTTGTTCCGTCAATCCTCAGGTTACTTTTTCTTGATCTGTCCTCGATTTTTCTTAATTTATTTTTTACATATAGAAACTCACTATTACCTCCTTTTTTTTTGTTATTTTCTTTTTTTTTATCCACAACTATAATGGTGGTCTTTATCTTATTTTCCAAAAATTCTCCATGATTAGGCCTATTTTCAACTCAATTATTGTTATCATGAGAATTTTTGATTTATTAATTATTATTATACTTTTTAATATTCTCATAATTACTATTAGTAATGTTTTTTTAAATTTTTATGTTGTGCTTCTTATTTTAATAACAGGGATGCGGAGTCCTAAAGAAGACTCTGGATTTGAATGTCACAAATATATTACTTCTTCGTAAATTTATCCTATCCAGGAGCTCTAAAAATATAAAAAAAAAAATGAAATACTATTAAAAGTAAAACTTTTAGTTTAGAGGAACAGTCAATATTTGAACCCGAAGCCCTTATGTATGAAGGCGGAAAATACTCCGGGCCTAAAAAAAATTTGTCTATTGATAATATTAAAATTAAAATTAACAGAAAAAAATTCGAAATATATTCTTGTTGAAAAGTTATCTTGGTATACTCAACTATGCCATCTTAAAAAAAAAAAATTTACACAAGCTAGCAGTATGCTTTCTCTAATTCTTTACAATGTTCCTATCCAAACTCTTCAAATGATTTATTCTTCTTTATTCTCTTCTCACCTTTGTTATTGTTGTACTGTTTGGGGTCAAAAAAGAAACTTTTTACTTAATAGCATTGCTAGTGTACAACGCGCATCTATTAGAATAATGACGTTTTTGTCAATAAGATCTGATATCCAAAAATAATCTTCTATTTTCAATACAATTAAATATGGTAGCGAGTGGTTTGATTTCTGCTTTATTAATTATTTATCTATATTATATTTATTTATTATCGAGTTATTATTGCTACGTTTTATGTTACTATTATTTTTAATTATTATCTATAATATGAACATAAAATTTACATTGTATTATACTTTTCTCTTTTCTCTACAGTTTTATTTGCTTGACCGATTTGAAGATATTTGCTTTTATTTTCTGGAATTGATTAAGCGCTTTTATGCAAAGGCAACATACTAAGAAACTCGGACATATTTAGCCTCCTGCTTGAAGTATCCAGTTTATTGTTTAAATGAAGTTAAATGGAAATCCTACAACCGCGAAAAAAACAAATAAAGTTAATAAAACAAGGTGATAAAGATAATCAAGATGATAATGATTAGAAGTAGATTGTGGCGTTTCAGTCTAATGATAACTAAGGTAGTTGCGAAAATGAAAATTAAATTACCCTATTACCCCTACTAGTAAAACTTTTAAAAATACATTTTGAAAAGCTTTTGAAGGTGATATCTTTCATTGGTTTAACGTTATTTTTATGATATTGAGTTTATAGTTAAATTTCAACTCCGGTTTCTTGTTTCCAAATCAACACATGAAAATCAACGTCAGTTCAACGTTAATTTGTTGACGTTTGATCAATGTTGATATTTCAACGTCGATTTTTTTGTTTCTAATTCAACCCCTAAATCAACATTTAAGCTTTTATAACATTGAGTCAACGTCAAAATGCTAGCTGGGCAGTTTCATTTATATAAGGTATATAATTCATAAAGATTTGACTTCAGATTATTAGATATATTTTTAGTAAGCGTTAGTTTTTGGATTATACTAATTAAGAAGAAAGATTTAATAAAAATGGATTCAGTTATTAATATACCAGCTAAAACTTTTATTACATGTACTAAATATAAATTTTATCTTAACTAAATTGCTAAAAAGATAACTTTCAAAAAATAATCCAAATTAACCAATACTAAAAACATAATGTTATTACAATCATCATAATATTTTTTCTACTATTATCTAAAGTTATTTTATAAAATTTTCATAGCATATTTATAAAAGTACTATCATTGCATAAACAAACTAAATCATATTGTGTTAAAAACAGATTGTGCGGCCGTGGCGCAGTGGTTAGAGCGCTCGCTTAAAAAGCATAAGATTTAAGTTCAAAACGAACATTGGACATATTTTTGCGTAACGGTAAGGTAGGAGGCATTACTTCCTAATTAAATGCACTTCCGCAGTGCTCTGTGACAAAAAATTTAACTTGTTACATTTAGTTTTTTAAAGTGTTTTTTAAGAATAAAAGATAAATAAATGTTTGATTAGAAATTATATAAAGAATATTCATGTCTTTCTATGATTAAAAAATAACTTATTGCAGGTTTCCAGTTTAATAAATGTTTTTGTTTATCACTACACTTCATTGTATGATAAGAATGGTTTTGTTCATAATTTGCATATTTTAGATTGTATTTTTATATTTATCATGACATGCAAAATTTTTTTTTAAATTAACTTTACATTAAATGCCAAGAAAACCAGAACAAGCTTTTCAGCAAGTTATCAAATGTTAGCATAATTCTAGAAATTATGTCATTTCAAGTATTCAAAAATTTTTTTATAATAAAAATCATCACTACATTAGGTTTCTTTTTCAATCAAAAGAAATCACTTTTTTTCATTGTTAATGGTCATCGTAATAATTTGTAATCAACTAAATCACGTTTAAATTTTTTCGATATTCTTGGTCAAATTTTGCAACAATTCGAAATATGTTAAAATAAGAAAAACATGTTAGAAAATAATGGGAAAATAAACTGTTGATTATTAAAATAATAAAGCCATTTTTGATTTTTCGACATCTAATGCCTTATTCTGGCTCTCATATTTTTAGAGTTTTTAATCCTACTGATAAACAATACAAACGATATTTATCAGAAATATTATTCAAGTATATGTATGTATGTATGTATGCATGTATGTATGTATGTATGTATGTATGTATGTATGTATGTATGTATGTATGTATGTATGTATGTATGTATGTATGTATGTATGTATGTATGTATGTATGTATGTATGTATGTATGTATGTATGTATGTATGTATGTATGTATGTATGTATGTATGTATGTATGTATGTATGTATGTATGTATGTATGTATGTATGTATGTATGTATGTATGTATGTATGTAAGTATGTAGGTATGTATGCATGTATACATGTATGTATGAAGGTATGTGTGTATTTATGTATGTATGTATTTATGTATTTATGTATGTATGTATGTATGTATGTATGTATGTATGTATGTATGTATGTATGTATGTATGTATATATGCATGTATACAGGTGTGCATGAGTATATACACGGTTAGCACGGATCCCTAAAATGCCTACCTAGCTATACCAAGAACGCCACTTATACGAAAAGTAAGCATGCATATCAAGGTACGCTGTGATGCAAATTTTGACATCATTTAATTTTGTCAGCGGAAATTAATTTAATTTAAATGTTCAAATTAAGTCAAATTTTAACTTCATAGTGTGCCAATAAAAACCCTTATTGAATTTGAACCACTTATTATGTTTTGATAAAAATTGGCGTAAATGTAGCCAATAGTTACACTAAACTCAAAACAAAATTTCAGCCTGATTTGATTAACTTCAATTAAAACTGATATTTCAGTTTTAGTTGAAACTTTATCAGTTTTTTGCTACTTATGCCTCAAAGCGTTACCGATTACTTTAACATTCGGTCACTATTATTAAAATAACGGTTACATAAGTGTTTTACTATGTAATACCAACATTTTTTGTAATACTAATTTTATCGGTAGAGGTATAGTTTCATTTTATAGACCAAATGAGTCGTTTGCTACTTAAAGCGTGATTTGAATTGGCTTGTGCCAATGGCGTTGACACAGCCTTCAAAGTGGATCGGGTCAACCCTTTAATTTTTAAAATAAAATTCATGTTTTATAAAATAATTGCCTATATTTCTAAAACAAAAGGTCCTCGCAAAAAAAAATTGGCAGGCCTTGGCTTCCTTGACAGCCATGTATGCATAGCGTGAATATACCTAAATTTCCTAAGGTATAAACTAATGCCAGAATGCAAAAAAGTTCTAAAGAAATGGTTAACAAGGATTTCTGGGGATATTTCCATAGAAAATAAAAATATTTATTTATCTGAAAACAAAACAACTGTGAAAAAACAAAATATAATATATATTGACAAAGATAATTGACTTTTTAGATAAGTTAACTAAGATATCTGACCAATACAAAGTTTGGAGGGCCAGTCGGAGGAAAATTACCCTAAATGAATAACTAATTAGGTTGAAGGGTTGTTTTGAAATAAAACAACCCGTGTGACAAGTATCGTTAGTTAAATATATTTGCTACAATTATCAATAATGTAATTTCCTTACAAGTAAGTAGTTTGAACAATTATTTTTTGGTAAGGAAAGAACTATTCAAGAATTATTTCCTTTAATTTAATATTACTTCAACTAAATCAAGTAAACATTTCCTTTATTTCAATAGTTTTGAATTAATAATATGTGTTACTATGTTAAACGGATTGTTATCAAGTATAAATTTAGGTCAAACTTTGTAAAAGGAAGAGTTTGATTTAGTGAAGTCAAACTTAATGAATTACTACGATGCCAAATCAAGCAAAGAATCATGATGAAAATCGAAACTTTGTGTGCTTGCTTTTTCTGAAAAAATGTTTAAGACAGATTACTACTTTTCAAGCAGATCGAATATG